AAATATTCAATCAAAATGCGATAAATCGATGTTTTGGGGATGTTCAGTTCCATTTCCATGAATTTCAATGATGATTTCGGCTGATTTGTGATGAATTCACGCACAGTTTTGATGGAATTTTCGATGATCACGGGTTTTGATTTGACTTTGAAAACGGTGAAACCACTTGTGCACTTTGCTACGGGATATGCGATCACTGCTATAAACTTGTTTCATCAATTGAAACGTTTAGGTAAAAGTTTTGCCAATTTTAAAACAAAATTTAATGTTGGCTCTTTGTTTGAAGCTCATTTTCGCACCGATAACACAAACGATGAAATGTCATGAAACACTTTACACTCGAATAAGACAGCAGCTTCTAACGTAATAGTCGACATATACATAGATGACGCCAACAGGGTTCGCTGTTTACTTTGGAAAGCACCTTGTTTAACGAGATTAAGTTTAAACAACTTATGCTTACGAYTTATTTCGTTCGTAAGAAAACGCAAAAGATGCCTTTTATGAGTGGCTGGAGTGGGCTCATGGCGACTGACCGCGCCACTATTTAAAAATTGTGCTTTGCGATTTTAACGCCAGGATGAGCAAAGAAGGTATAATTGATACAACAATTAGAAAATTCAGTAGCCCAAAATATACTAGATTTCAGCACAAAAAAATTCATTAAGCTCCTTGGCAGTCTTCGGATGGAGGAGTTCGATGTTGTGTACCGCATGTTTCCAGTGTCCTTGACATGCATACACTATGAGGATTTATCATCTACTCGGACCACTACCCTGTTGTAGCGAAGATTGGCGCCCGTCTTTGTACAGTAAAGCACGCCTTTCAACAAACACTGAAAAGCTACTATGACAACCGACAAAAAAACGGTTTTCTACYATATAAGAGAACTGTGAGGCGGCATTTTAAGCTCCTCACCATTAGTTTTCGTAAAGGTCGAAAGAACAGCTGGTACGATGAGGAATGTCGTGGAGAGAAAGCGAACAGGCTACTTCGCTATGTTGCGATCGATCACAATATGAACAGGTTGAGATATATACCGAGCGTTGAAGAGGAAAGAGAGACGCACATGTAGTCAAAAATTTAAATAATCGATAATGATGGAATAGAAATATGGCAGCAAAGAACTGAAAAGGTCATGCATCAGTTTCTTTGCAAAATACGGCCACATGAAAGCATGGCCGTTAATTGGAACCTAATATCGCATACTTATCGAGCGCAGGGTGTGAAAGACTGAAGCCCACTGTCAACAAACTGATTGTTCCTTATCATAGTGGCTTTAGACCTAGAAAATCTACTACCGAACAGATTTTCGCAATACTCCAAATCTTAGAAAATACTTCGTACGAGGAAGATCGACTCCCATCACCTTATCATCGGTTTTAAAGTCGCCTTCGACAACATAAAAAGGAATTGCTTGTAGACCGCCATGTCCGTTATTGGTATCCTCACAAAACTAATACGGCTGTGCAAACTGATGTTGAGCACTACCAAAACCCCGTCAGGGTATGGAAGGACCCCTCCGAACCATTCGCTACCAAACGAAGACAAGGCTACTCCCTATCGTGCGACTTTTTCAATCTACTGCAAGAAAAAATATTTCGATCTGCAAATCGGCGCGGTTGTTGAGGCCAATGATATAGATATCATTAGATTAGTTCTGCGGAAGCGAAGAAAATGGGTCTGATAATGAACTAGGGCAATACGAAGTATCTCCTGTCATCAAACAAACAGTCATCGCATTTGCGACACATCTCCTACTCCACTGTTGACAATCATAACTTCGAAGTTGTAGATAACATCGTCTATCTTGGATCCAACTTTAGCACCAACAAAAATGTCAGCATAGAAAACCAACGCAGAATATCTCTTGCAACAGGTGCTACTCTCTCGATGAGTAAAAACAAAACTAAATAAGTCACTCATTATCCCCGGTTAATGGTACTTTGCGCGTTGGCCACCTCGAATATCGGTTTTGGTCTGACATATTTTACAGCCATTGCAAATAATTTTCTGTGTTTGTTTGTAGTTGTGCCGTTGCTCCTAATGGAAAATTAAGTTAACTTCTTCTTCTTAATTGGCGTAGACACCGCTTACGCGATCATAGCCGAGTTAACAACAGCGCGCCAGTCGTTTCTTCTCTTCGCTACGTTTCGCCAATGGGATATTCTAAACTTCTAAAACTTATTTTATTAAACTTGTTTAAACAACTTAAATAATGTAAAAAAAAAAATTATATGAAATGGATTGTTACTTGTACATTATTTATAGACAAAAAAAATATAATTGTTTTTAACTATATTTGTGTTTTATTTACTCGATTTGAATTATTCATTCAATGTATGCCTTGTGATTTAATAAATAATGTTTGCCTTTTTATTTAAAATCGATTAAAATCGAAAGAATCTATTCTTGAGGTCCATTAGTCGATTCTTATAATTGAAAAATATAGAAAAATAATCGGAATCGAGAATCGATTCTGTAAACAATCTATCCATCCCTATTGTGCATACACAAAATGGACAGTTGTGTTGTTTTGTGTACATGCCGGCAGCGCCATTCTTACAAATGTTCATGTATTAAGATTCACGACGCCATTTATAGCTCATGTGCTGAACACATTGAGCGCGACACGGCAGTGAAACTGAAATAGCATTGTGAATTCTTCTACATGAACCAGGATTATTCCAGTGTGAGAGCGCTTCAAAATAGGCGTTTTTTATAACATTTTCCATTATGACCAGATCGCACCAAATAAGAATTTTTGGACATTTTAAATTAACATACCCAACATTTATTACGACTGCAAATTATTATATATTGGACTTTTAATATATGGCGAAACTACTTAATTCCTTTTTTAGGATTTTATGGTATATTAAAACAGCTGACTTTCGATATTTCAATACTTAATAAGTTGAATTAAGCCTGTTAGTTCTAAATTAATAAATGTTTTTAATAATTTGTAATAGAAAATTAATTCTATTATGCATCAAATTACAAAACGTTTCATGATATATATTTAAATTTCTTCATTTTCTTCGATTTTCATTACTTTAAATTTTTATTAGCGATCTTGAACGGCGGCAATAAATTTCTCCGTTCACATATATTTCTGGTATAATTTCAATCTGGCCGTTCCAGACATTCCAATTGCAAAACGTCAAAACCTACTCAATCCAGTCAACTGTCAAAGTTCAGTAGGTTTTGACGTTTAGCAAGTGAGTTGGGGATCTCATTATCTCTGACATTAACATTTGTGAGAAACCAGCAACATAATAATGGCCGGCATGTATACAAAACAACACAACTGTCCATTTCGCATGTATGTACACAATTTCGATGTGGCCATACTAATACCTTGCATTTCAGTGAAATTTTAATATTTTGTTCAAATTGAAATTTTGTATGAAAAATAAGTAAATAGGTAAATTTAATTGTTTTAAATTATCAATTGTTGTTACAAATGATATAATAGAGCTATTTCATGCTTTTATTTGCAAAATGACGTCATGTTTGTTAGAGCTTTGAATAATTTTACATTTTATGTATTAGATTACATTTAAGCATTCCATAACCCAACAGTGTTGTCACTGCCGTTAGGAAGATCAAAAAACAGCTGTTATTATCATTCAAGAATTCACATCGTTTAAGATTTATCAAAAGAAAAGATTGTCATACAGTATTTTGAAATAAAAGCCGTAATTTTTTAAATATTTTCCATATAGTAGAAATAATGGATGCATTTTTTCATTTGTTAAGTGTTCAGGTGAAATTAGATTCATTGCTATAAAAAAATTTGTTTCTTTACATTTTTTTCCTTCGTAGTGCCTAAATCAGCTGTGATAATGTAATAGATTTTCAATGCTGCCAAGTAGATGGCGCAAAGTCAGAGTCGCACAGAGCGATTTAGCGTTGATTAGTTTCAAATCATTTCGATGAAGTGATTTTGAAGTGTCATTTTTGAATGGCGAAATCTTGATAAATTTATAAGATTAGTGGGATAAACCACTCAACAGCCGAAATCGTGTGATTAAGTGTCGGTCTGAACATGGTATTACTGTCGTCCTACTATCGTTGGAAAATATAAAAATATATTGAAGTTTGCCAGAGCGACAACTGTCGAGCTGCAGTCATGCGGCTGTCAAAATAACTGTGTCCTTAAGAACGTGTGTATTTTGATATTTTACACATGTCGCTGCAGTTTTTCGCGCTCAATGTTGTGCTGTCATGTCGTGTCGCTCTCCAGTAGTATTCAGTCTCTATTGGCAATATTGCTAGCGATCCAGATTTTTAGCAATTGTAAATTGTCTGCCAAGATTCCCCTTTCGCAAAGTTCATTGCCTGTACAGACAAGTCGTTCACCGCTAGTAGTCTAGTTAATCTCATAAATTAAAGATAAAATGACATGAAACTCTTTTTTTACTCTCTCGCTTTGCAGCTGGCGGCGGACCCTGATGTTTTTTCTGAGCTAGCAACGAACTACAATCAGGGTCCCGTCAATCAGCAGTAAGTGAAAATGGCGGGATACCAGAAGAATAGATCTAAAACGAACTGTCAAAGTGAGTACGTTGTTGAAATTCTGTGGAGAAAGTTGTCAATAGTTTGTATATGAGTGGTATAGGCCTATCGGCGAAACGAGCACCCAAAAATAATATCGATAACACACTATTTGCATACCTCAGTGGTAGTGTAGGAATTGAGAAATACCAAAAACTATTTATAAAATGCCTATTCTAATATTTGTCAGCAGTGCCAAACGTTATAAAAAATCTGAGTTTTGACAGATCTCTCTCGAATCAAAAAGTTTTATCATTTTATCTATGTCACAAATAGCGAAATAACAAAAAAGTAAGGAAACTGAGAGGTAGTACGAAAATATCGAATGCCAATAACTTCATATCAAGTAACTGTTATGGGCTAACAAATGCTTTTCCAGCAGACACCTAACTAGCTAGTGATAGTTAGCAATTAAGAAACAAACTTGTGATGTGATACGACAAAGTAAAAAGTGATGTGGCAACCACATTGAAACCAGATGTTACATTCTGAACTGGTTGTATTACTTTCTATATCATTTCACTTTGTTACTTGTGTTCGAGGAAGTCTCGATTTTATAATTAAAGCATACATTTTGTACAACCATGAATACAATTGGAATTTATGAGGGATATAAATCTCCACTAAGTACGCGTTATGCCAGTAAAGAAATGCAATTTTTGTTTAGCGACCAGCACAAATTTGCAACTTGGAGACAATTATGGGTTTGGTTAGCAAAGGCAGAACAGGTATATAACCAAAAAATATAATGACAAATTTTTATAGGCTTATTTTATAGTCGCTGGGCTTGGATATAAATGATGAGCAAATAGCTGAAATGCAAGCACAAGTGAAAGATATAGATTTTGAAGCTGCAGCCGCTGAAGAGCGCCTTACAAGGCACGATGTCATGGCACATGTACATATTTTTGCAAACCAATGCCCTAGAGCTGCACCTATAATTCATTTAGGAGCTACATCGTGTTATGTTGGAGACAATACGGATCTTTTAATTATGCGTGACGCAATCGATTTACTTCTACCACGAATTGCGTTAATAGTATGCCATTTAAAAGATTTTGCTTTGAAATTCAAATCACAACCGACATTGGGATTCACACATTTGCAACCTGCTCAACTTACTACAGTGGGCAAGCGAGCTTGTCTGTGGATCCAAGATTTACTTATGGATGAAAGAGCACTACGTCGCTGTCGAGAGGACTTGCGTTGTCGGGGTGTTAAGGGTACAACAGGAACTCAAGCGTCTTTTCTACAACTTTTTAATGGTGACGATGAAAAGGTTAGACAACTAGATTTGCTGGTATCCAAATTATCTGGGTTCGATAAATCCTATTCTGTTACTGGCCAAACTTATTCAAGGAAAGTTGATGTCGAAGTTATTGGTGCTATATCTAGTTTAGGCACGAGTATTCACAAAATATGTTCAGATTTACGTTTATTAGCTTCACGAAAAGAGGTAGAGGAACCATTCGAAAGTACGCAGATTGGATCATCAGCAATGCCATACAAACGAAATCCCATGAGATCAGAGCGCTGTTGTGCATTAGCAAGGCATTTAATTACATTATTTTCAAATGCTGCCAACACTCACGCTACACAGTGGCTAGAACGAACACTTGATGATTCGGCTAATCGTCGTTTAACATTATCGGAAGCATTTTTAGCGGCAGATGCAGCATTGTTAACATTTTTGAATATCTCACAAGGACTTGTGGTTTATCCAAAAGTTATTGAACGGCATATTGCACAAGAATTACCTTTTATGTCTACAGAAAACATAATTATGGCCATGGTTAAAGCGGGGGGTGATCGCCAAATATGCCACGAAAAGATACGAATTCTATCACAAGAAGCAGGGGCGCAAGTTAAACAACATGGAAAGGACAATGATTTAATTGATCGTATTCGCAAGGACCCTTATTTCGAACCGATTCTTCACAAAATTGATGAAATACTTGATGCTCAAACTTTTACGGGACGTGCTAGTGCACAAGTGGACGATTTTGTAAATGAAGAAGTAGATCCTATTTTGAAAATTTATAAAGAATCATTAAAAACAATAGAAAGTGTTCAATTAAATATTTAATTAAGTTATAAAATTTAATTTTATAAAGATACGCTAAACAGAAATAAAACATATTAACTACATACATACATATGTATGCCAATCAGTGCACTACATTGAATGATGGAAAAATCATATTTCTATCTCCGAAAGGTGATAGCGGGGTGGAACAAAGTGGTCTTATCTCTTACGCACAATCGTTAAGCCAGACGGACATGTGAATTATGTGTGGACATATATGTACATATTTATGTAAGTGTACAGTATTGATGCAAATTAAATTTTGAATATGATTGTTAAAGTAAAAAATGATAAGTTTATGTACGCATGAAGTAATTTAATACTATATATTGGGTAGTCGAAAAGTCTTTACGTATTTCTAATCAAACTTCAATTTAGTTTTTTTTTATATTTGGGTCATTCCATCATGGTTTTGTACCCGTGGTTCTCCGATTTTGACCAAACCTTAGAATATCATAATATAGACCACAAGAATAATATCTGTTAACTTTTTAGTGGTCAAAATTGCTCCACTGGTTTTCCAAGGTCATTTTCAAGAATTGAAACTTTTCAAATAATGTGTATGAAAAGTTAATATTCCATTCCAAAACATTGTTTATCGCCTAGAATGTTCCGTAAGTTTTGAAAATATAATAAAAAATTTTTTCGCACACACACATGCTTTTTTCCTCCCTGACAAGTATAGCTTTAGGAATTAATAGCCTGCGCCGTATAGCGTCAACTTTGAATTTTTTTTTGCTGTTCATGAAATCAGAGTCTCATATTTTTGAACACTGATTCTTATGTAAAATTTAACCAGGAATCGAATGGAGAAGTAAATTTTGAAAAAAAAAATAAAATTGGTGGAAAAGCACAAAAAAAACGTGATTTTTGGAGAAACATTTTTTTTTTTTGATTTGGAAAATTGTTTTGTTTTTGAAAATATTTTTATCAGAAAGCTGATATTTTTTTACATAAGATTGGATAACTTCAAAATTTTTTTCACTCAATTTTCAGGTAGTTAAAAAATAATAGAAATAGTAATTTTTTTGTTTAATCGGGATTTGAATTGCGCGCCAAAAAACAGTGGAGCAGGTTTGACCACTAAAAAGTTAACAGATATTCTTCTTTTGGTCTATATTATGATATTCTAAAGTTTTGTCAAAATCGGAGAACCACGGGTACAAAACCATGTCTATAAATAAATTTGTTCCAACACCATCTCCGTAAACTTCACAAATTTCATTGGTGACTTGCGTGGCATTCTTCCCTTTTTAATATAAAAATTTTAAAATATAGCGGATTTCTTCGTTATTTTCAATAATTGTTGAGCAGCTGTAACTTTTTTTCAACTTCCCCGAACAATTCCGAACGTAAGTTCGAAATTCATGGAGTGGATTCACTGAATTCACTCGGATCGCTAAAATTTTATCGAAATTTTTATACAAGTTTTTGCTAGCGGAGAAATAAATTTAAAAACAATCTAAGTTTTTATTGAATTCAAACTATACATATTTGTTACCAGTAAAATAACCTTTAATGCGATTTCCGCAGGTCTAAAGTAATTGCCACCAAAAAGCAATATGCACTAATGGTTGAGCTGTTACAGCAAAAACCTGAAAAGGTGCAGAGTTTTACCAAGTGTCCTAAAGAAGAAGCGGCAGCTTTTTGGAAAAAGGTAATATAATAAAGTTGTAACAGGATAATTTAAAGCTTGTTTGACTTATTTTTTATTAGGTATGTCTTAACTAGAAGGCCTACATAAAAAGAAAATTGGTGGAAAATAAAAAGGACCAGTCAGCTTCTGGTGGCGGCAGAAATAGGCAACGAATGGGTGGAAGCGGTCTTAACTCCAACGGTATTAGAGATGAGTACAAGTGGAATTGAAAATACAGGGAGCATAAGCTTACCGATGGCAGCTGACGTTGGCTATGAGACAGAGGCCGACGTATCAATGCCATCAGTGACCTGCAGTCCAGCACTGCCTAGACGTACTCCTAGGCCAACGGATACATGTACAGCCCAATTAATAAAAGAACAACTTTCAATTCGAAAATAATATCATGACGACTAGGGAGAGCATTGGAAAAGCAAAACGTTTTGAAAAAAGCGGAAGTGGAAGAAATTGGAACACACAACATAGCTATGGAGAATTTGATAGCTGCTAAGAATTCCATAAAACAGCAAATGTCAGAAGCAGACGGAAAAAAAATACAAGCCATATCAAAAAATAATTAATTATATAAATACTTAATACTATAAATATTCTTCTTGAGGGAGGGGTACGCGATGGTGTAATTAAACATGGTTCTAGGGCAAATCCAGCATCTGTACAAATATAAAACGATTTTGAGTTTTGAAATTATGTAAGGCGGTTTGGGAATTTTTGTAACATACATATATGTATACCCAAAAGATAAGTGTCCCGTCTACACACAAAATCGCATATTTCTGAAAGAAATTCCTTTTCGCTTTTCTTTTCATCGTTACTTAATTCAAGGTTTATACACTGAGGGCACAAATGGGACTGAAGCAATCCTCATACATATTTTAAGATGCAACAAAATGTTGACTGAGCCATTGGAATTTCGAAGTCTTAACTTTCAGCTAAGAAATGTGAAACCGAAGACAATCGACGAAGCAAGGATATAAATGACGATCTTGAAGAACTTGCATTCCTCTCCAGAACGTCGAGAACATACGTAAAGGCCGGCTTATTTAAGTAATAGTTTTTAATAAACCTGTTTTAGAAAAATAGTTTTAATAACATTTAGCAATGAACTTTAGTGATTCTTGAACTGTACATTGTTTCAGTTTCGGCTACGAAGTCTGACCGGAGACTTAATTCTGGTACCACGTTGAGCAGGAGCCCTTGGAGGTAACTCCAAACTGCTCATGCGGACTGGCCCCTCGGGGAGTATCGTGGCTTTAGATAGGCCTCGAACCCACCAAGGTGGTTAGTGTGTCCATTCCACACTGCCAATTGGTACTGAAAATGAATGGCATTTTCAGGGCGCTGATCAACGCTTTGATTTGATCCGTTGTACTTTTGAGTACCGTGGAGTTAAGCTGTCGTCAGCAGGTACCCACGTAAAATTTTCCGGTTGTTGTACATTGTTTCGTCCACTTCGAAAGGGTTGTCCCTGTTCCTCAGTGATTTTCGGTGAATTTTTAGATCACGCCGGCTTCGCTCACCTTATTCCTGTAGCAATATAAATAAAAACGTTAGCGGATCCATATTTTGTACGTAAAATCAATTTGAATAATCAAAACTTAAATTTTTTAATCAAAACTTAAATTTTTCTTCTACCCAGCTGACTGATAGCAAATTATGCGTATTTGTAGTCGTTCGTATTCGTAGCTTTGCTGCGATGGATTGCGTAATGGCAGAAAATAAAAAAATATCGTGATGATTTATTTTTCCAGTTTATTACTACACAGTACATCAGCTAATCTGTGGAGTGAGAAATTCCAAGTCAGGGTGATGGTACTAGGTCAGTATAGTAAAATCCTCAAAGGGTTTGGCGTTCGTATGTGTCAGTTTTTTTTATGACCTTTTAATTTTTTTTCTTATTTCTCATGGTTTTCCATCTCAACAAATTAATTTTTTCCAATCAGGCGTACTAAATTTTCCAGATATACGAAATCTGATTAAAAATGACGCATTCAACAATATTTTGATTGATACATATATATATATATGCAGGCAATCAAAGAAGTAACAGAAGGCTTGTTGGGAAAGCATCGTTCTAACAACGACGATGTTTCTGTCGCAAGGATGTTAAGAGCATTCTCGGAAATTGTTTTTTTTTTTTTTGTTTTTATTTTTGCCAAAATGTTACAACTAAGCGAAAAAACACCAAGATAAGGAAAAAAGGGGTCATAAGGTCATAGGGTCATAAAAAAAACTGACACATACGAACGCCAAAACCTTTGAGGGTTTTACTGTACTCACCTACTACCATCACCCTGACTTGGAATTTCTCATCCCCCAGACAATAATCCCAAAAATGTTCCACAGTGTTATTTGTGTATTTATTTTTTCAATAGAGAGACACGTATGTAGTATATACATAAGTATCTTTAACTGCTTTGTTAAAGAAAATTGCAAAATAAGCACTAACTTTCAGCAGCTGGGGTCTAAAATTCATAGAACACTGGTCGATTTCATAGGCCAAAAATAAAAAAAAGTTTGAATTTTACCACCGTTTGTATCAAAGCTATAAAGCTATTTCTTAAAACACCAATAAAACTAGCAGTAAATATATTTTTGCTCTATCCCATTCGTAAGGGCTACGAAAAGCGAGAGAAGTGAGACAATAGAAACAAGCGGACTATGCGTGTTTAAAATTAGTTTAAAAATTATCTATTATAATAAATGAAATTGCAATATAAAATCTTGTTTAATCCCCATAAACCGAAATGAGTATTGATATTAAAGGTACATATTATATAAAAAAGTGGTTTTTATTTAAAAATATGTTTTGTGATTTTAAAACAATTGTTTTTTTAGTGTCCTTTTCAGTGGTATGTTTTTCTTTATACATCGATTTAAGGTATACAAAAAGTTCTGATCCCTGTCTCGCCCACAAATGAATCAAGTTTGTTTCTATCAGTTAATGTTTTCTAAGTCTATACTTTTGATTTCAGCTGCAACTTTTTGTAACTTTCTTTGTTATTTATGTTATTCTACCAGGCATGCCATTTTGAATGTGTTATTTTTTGTAATTACCTGTATGTATGTATATTCGGGAATATTTTATTGCGTTTTTTTATATATTTTTTTTCATCATACATATACATATATACATACATATTTGAGCTTTGGTTTTCATTTTGTCATTTTGTCTTTTTTTTAGGGACACCATATCGGTGTGAACTTTCACGCCTATATATAATATTATAGTTTGGCATTTTGGTGTTTAGAAAAAGTGTGTCAATTAATATCACTTATCACCGAAGCAAATTTAATAAAGTCTCGGTATCTACTTATTACGAGTAGAAGCTTCGTTAACAAAAACTTAATATTAACTT